TCATATTCATACCACTTCGGTGACGTCCTCAGTGACAGATTTGATCCGCGCCGCATAGTATGTTTGTAGCGCTGCTACAGGCTCTCGTGGGCAAGGAGTTTGGGGAATCGGAAAAGAAGTTGTCGTCGGGACTGCGTGCATGGTTGCACCGATATTCATTGAATAATGGATTGCTGTATTAAAGCATCGACTCGGCGTATACGCCACGGCTTGTGGTTCCTCAGGATGAAGATCTGAAATACTGTATCCTCTAAGAGGCGCACGAATGGTCATCTCGATCCTACAGCTCGGTGAGTTATAAGCACTGGTGGCTCAAGCTGTACAAATGAACGAGCATATATGTGCGGACGTGTGAAACGTGTCAGAGGATGAAACTCTCTCTAAATGCGGCGGCGCCGCCGGCCAGTTTGCCGGTACTCTCTGGGTGTTGGCAGTCATGAGTTTGAGTTTTGTTTTTGGCCTGCCGAAGTTCTCGGCGAGCAACACGGCTTTCTCAAACGGTTGACGAAGACCACGAAACATGGCTCATCTTGCGGTGGTGTCGGTACAGTGACAATGTTTGTGGACCGTGTCTTTCGACAATATGGACTCGCGTAGTCAATTTTCTCTGACAGAGACCCACGCTTCACTGAGAAGTCGATGGTCTTAAGGTTGCTGAGCACCAAGTTGACTATTTCACCAGCGGATTATTCGCAAGGCCGATGATCAAACTGAGCGCGTACATCGCGTCGTCGAGTACGTCCTTCGCAACGTCTGGGCTAAACTCCGAGGCACTGGAGCGCCATGCTGCCACTTAAAGAGTTCTCTCTGAGCAATGCAGTGCATGCGTCTACCGGCTACACGCCCTTCTAAGTTAACGGGCACGTTAATCCTCGCATCCCGCTGACGCCGATATCCCATGGTTCAGGGCTTGGTGGGGGAGAAATAGCCGAACGGCTAGCTGATCTCACTATGCGTAAAATCCTCGATGATCTCCTGTCTGCTAAACTGATTGTCTTACGACACGTTCGCGATGCAATGGCTGATAGCCAAGACATGCAGAAAGCATATGCAGACGGAAGAAGAAGAAGAAATCTTGAAAACTTTGAGGTCGGAGATCTGGTTTTATTTAATGCTACACACATGCCCTTTCTACTGTCTAAAAGAAGAACTCCGTCCACGGTTTATCCGACCATTCAAGGTTGTGGCCAAGCGGGGCGTTGCGTATACGTTTGACCTTCATAAACGGATGGGAACCAGCCTGGTGTTTTATGTGAGATTGCTCAAGCTATACCGGGATCCAGCGCAAGTGAACGCGGGAGCGTTGGCGCCGCTCCGGCGCCCACAGGCGCTTGACCACCCAGAAGCTAGACCAGTAACTGGTTTTGAGCATTTTTGAGCATTGAGTGCAACGACCGCCATCTCCGACGGCGCCAAGTGCTCCACCTTTGTATGAAGCGACGCATTCGTCTGCTCAACGGCTAGAAGCAGCTCCGACAGGATGCGATAGTTCTCAACGTGAGGTAGTCGGAGTACAATGTGCTTCAAGCTCTCTAGGTCTTCCGCACAGCGGTATGTGACCCCAGCATGATGCTCAGCGGAGTCTCGATCGCGACGGACCTCGTCCTCAAGAGCTCGAAGAGCATCGAGTCACCCTTCGGCGATCGATCCAGTCACCATCGTCCGCCACCGACTTTTCTCGACGAAAATAGTGGTGTCCACTATCATGTGGAACGTCTTGTGGGTCGACGTCGTCGCCAGAGTCAAGCCCAGTATCTTGTAAAGTGGCGAGGATACCGCGATCTCGAGAACTCGTGGGAGTTTGAAGTGCCACTTCGGCAAGTCTGCCCAGACGTCGTGGACGCTTATGATCAGATAGATCATGACGTTCCGCATTATTGTACGCCCTGCACTTCTCGGCAATAACCAGAGGAGCAGAAAGGCCATGAGCTGAGCTCCAGCTATAGTCCTGAGCTGCTGCGGTCGCAGACTCACCTGTGTGAGAGACCACAGAATTCGCTGGAGTGTGATGGATCAACCCATACTTCGCAGGGCGCCCATCCGAAGGAAGTCGGCGACGCGCCTTAAGTTGGCAAATTCAAACCGAAGATGGCGTTCTACACGCGCGTCCACCTCTTTGTGGTTCCGCTGTAAGTTTTACAGCAAAGATAGTTTCGTCAACTGCAGCTGTTTCGCCAGTCACAGGATTCGTCCGCATCACGGGTACAGGAGCGCCTCCTCTTCGAGCACGAGGTCGAGTGCGGTAAATATCCAAAGGAATTTCTTGAGAAACCAAGAAACCAGCTCGGAGGGCTTTTCGTTCGTCGAGCGTAGCTTGTGTAGTGGCCGAGGGCCCGATCACATACACGCCCAACGATCGAGTGATCGTATCCTTCGCTTTTGTAGCGGGATCCGCTGAGCGGTAGCCGTATTCCACACGAGGGTCCAAGGACCGACCGTGGATGCGCGCGCATGGGAGCCGCCCTGCGGACAGCATCCAGCTGCTGCGTCTGTGCCTCGTTGAGGCCATTGGTAATGACACCGCTTCCCCGGATGTCGAGAGGTTGGGAATCGGTCACGGCGTCCGCAAGGTTCGAGCAGGACCCACGTAGCGACGCTAAGGCACCTCGCCCTCTTCTTTCTTTCATCTCGGGAAAGGAGTTTCCAACTCGTAATCGACTTCCTCCAAATTCTTGACGAGGTAATCGCCCGTGGCGTGCGCGGGCGGGAGTAGACATCGCGTCTGTGTTCTTGGTCGTGTGACCCTGTCGCTGACAATGCGCTGCGCTGTACGCGGTAACCGAGAGCTTGGACTGCGCTTCCCTTGAAGCCGCGAACGTGCTGTCCGATGTTGCACCGCGTGAAAGAGACGAAGAAGGGCTATGCTCGCGGGCGTTCTTGGAACCAGCGAGGCTGCTCAAT